CGATGATAGTTTTTAGATTAGGGTTGGCGGTAAATAGGTATTGAAAATAAAATAATCAGAATAGATTTTTCTATAATTCGAAATCTACGGTCACATTAATGATGATTTCGTTTATGGTAATTAATGATGATTTCGCTTGTCACATTAATTTTTTTTTTCACATTTTGTTTGATGTACTAAGATATAGTTGGGCTCTTCTATTTATTTGCATAATAATTCATATCATTAAGAATGTTTTTTAATAGATTTCATTAAGAGTTCCTTAAAATCTTCTTTTGATGACATCTAGGATTTTTCACTTAGTGTTTCTTCTATTAATATATACAGGACAAATATATATTTAAACTAGGTATTTTTCTAATGTATTTAGCCATATTTTTAATTTTTAATTTGATATTGTACTTTCATGGCCGGTTGATATTCATGGACAACTTATCTCAATCAACTGTTATCTCAAATCTTATAAATAATAAAACTTTTTGGTTGGACATTGAAAAATAAACGAGTATTGTTAGAAACTTTTTGGTTGAACACTGAAATACAAAGATCATATTCAATCCTGATATAGGAGAGCCACATACACACTACTCATTCCACTAGACATTCACATTTTCACGATTTAAATCCGAGACTAGAACAAAATTTGGAAGACTATAACATTGAAAACCAAAAGTGAAGAACAGTCGTAGTAAATAAAAAAAAAATCCAAACCACTCCGAAACTTCTTCGTTGATAGTCAATCCAATATCATTAAGAGAAAGATGTTGATATGCATCGCCGAGAGAAGAATTATTTGGAAAGACAGAGGACAAGAAAACTAATCTGCTAGTGGCAAAGTTATAAGTTATAACTATACATAAAAGCATTAAAAGAATGAATTATTTTTAACAAACTCCAAGCTAGGGAAAACAAAAGTGAGTAACTTTTTGTCAAACGAACAATTTTTTTGTTTCTTAAAGTTTCTCAAACAAACATAGTAATGGGAAATATTTGATGTAACACATGAAGACAAATAATTTGTCATATTGGCCGTGAGTCAGAAGACCAAAGAGAAAAACACATTTTATATACATACAACATGCAAAATATTGAGAAATAGAAACCAAAATCAATATTCTATCTAGAAACTCAAAACATTAAGAGAATGAATTATCGGGAAGATATATGCAATGCAATAGTTTCCCTAAAAGATTCACATTAAACTGATACAAAGAAGCACTATTACGAGAAAAATGTTGCTCCAAACAACTAAAACTTCCGCCTAAAGTCACACATGTTCCTTCTCCCTTCTTCATTTGCTCATGTAAATGCAAAACTTTCTAAAGACTTGATCTATTTTGAACCAGAAGCACCACATAGACAAACAGTGCAAGTAAACCTGAGTAGAAAAAAAAAACCAATCGTAAATCACCATTCACCAAAGTATAAGCATAAGTTTTTTTATTTATGTATATACTTGAAATTAGATATTTTTTTAACAGCGTTGATTCTTAAGTGTATAATATTTGATAAATATCATATACACAAAATACTTCAATCACATGTCTCCTATAAAAATAATTTACAGAATTAAGACTATACCTTTAAGGCAGAGATGCGAGCGAGTTCAAAACTGATAGAACGTCACCTGCTTAATAAGGAACAAAAGTGAATCTTTGATCGCTTCATCTTGTACAATCCTGATCTTACGGTGTAGATGTCTGCTTGTTCAGAAAAATCATCATCATCAGCAATCTTGGGATGTGGTTTTGCTTCTTGAAATGAAAGTATGAGAAATGAAGATTATGAAGAGAGAAACTGAGAAAAATGTATAACAAACTTTTCTGTATTTTATTTCTCTCAAAGCGTATATGTACAAAATGTATAAGATATATATACACAAATACTAAACCAGCTAAACCGGCTAACCAAGTAACTCTATCAAAAATTGATTTAGCTAAAGGAAACTAAACCAAATTGTAACCAATCCAATAG